AGGTGGTGGTGGTGGTGGTGGGGGAGGAGGAGGAGGGTGCCGCCGGCGACGAGGAAGAGGAAGAGCAGGAGGGTGCCTCGTCGACGATCCAGCCGGAAGCTACGGCGGATTAGGGGGGTTAGAAAGCCCCCCGCTAGAAGAGCAAAGGGGCGAGGCTGGCCCGGGAGTCGCGAGAAGCGGCGTCCGGCTCGTCGTCCTCACCGTAGTGGGGATTTTTTTACGCGTTGTTACATGAACGAACCCCGCTTGATTTTAGACGTGTACAACTGTTTGGAAGCGTTTGTGAGCGTTCTTTATTGGGTGAAAATACCGCAACCTTTCGGGTTCACGGCGGAAGGGGGGTACATAGGGGGGTAAGCGTGGGCGCGAGTGGTATGCGTGGTCCTGATGAATAGCAGAACAAAGTACATACTACTGCAGTATACATCCGCTTGTTAAGAATTTACAAGGAAGGGCCCTCTCGCTGATATGGCCGGTGGCAGAGGGAAGGGCAAACCAATACGTGTTATTTGTCTACCTTTAAGAGTTGTAGCAAGTGTGTTTTTCTTGTGCCTCGTATCTGGGTTCGACAGATTGATCCAAACGCGGTTAATAATGGACAATGACACAGCTTGTCGAATGCTGAGTGATGATGGAGTGTGGAGAGGCGCTTGTGTTCAAGGGTGTATCAATGGGATGAAGGCAAAGGTTGACAAACGTCCTCTGTGGTTCCACGAGGGCGCGTACTGTCATGGCGTGAGGGTGTATGTATGCTGACAACATCACATCCACAGGTAGGTAATGGTGTTGCTGTCGTCGGTGCAGGAGGCATGTCAGCGTTTGGTGTTGGCCAAGGTGTGCGTTGGGTGCCGAGGTGAACAACAATATTTACACGGGGAGATATGTCTCATGGAAAACGTCAAATAACTGATGTTTTGGTGTTTCCCGGATTTAAACAACGAAATGGCAGATGTGTCAACACTTGTGTACTCTTGTTTTATCGCATGTCCGTCGCAGTGTACCCTTGGGCACGCTATACGGTAGCAGTGTCGATTTGTGTTTTCGTCTGGCTTGGACATATTTTACGTTCTGTAGCTTTGTTGTTGCGGACCAATACCCGAGTCCGTTGTGAGTGTGCCGAAGAAGCGAACGTTAGACTATTGCTCGTTTCTTGCGCAGTTGAGAATTTATCAGGGCAACCACACCCTTGGGAGCGTGGAACGGTGAACCTAAGGTAGATAAGAGGTAGATGCGTCTGTGTGTTGAGTGCGTCCTTTTTGCCGATGTGAGTACTATCGCGGGCACCCCTTGGGGAGAATCGATACCTGACAGAGTTTCCGCTGTCGGTTGCAAGTTTAGGTTGCAAATGTTTTCTTGTCAGAAGCTCGTTGTTGTATATTCACTCGTAGATGTTGTGAAAAAAAATTGCTCGATTAAGCGCGTTTTTGTTTTCGCGAAAACAAGAAGAGCAGAAAGGACAAGAATGATGTCTAGATTTAAGCGGTGAACCGTGCGTGTAGTGAAGAAGCACAATAGCTCCGCCATGGGTGTGTGTGTGTGTGTGTGTGTGTGTGTGTGTGTGTGTGTTTTCGTCCTATTCTATGGCGACAGTATGTTCCCCATTTTTCGTGGTGAGACGTGTACTACACGTTTCAGTCTATGTAGAGAACTACGGTACACTTTTCAGTGTGTGGGTGTAGCTTGGCTAAAACTTGTCCCGTGAGGGGCGAATCTACCGTGTGTTGAAACATTTCGTGAAAACTCTACGCTCCGCCGGCCAGAAAGCGACCCGCGTCGGCCCGGCAACGGGCAGGGGAACACATCTACGAGGAGATCTGTTTCCAAACGGAAGCTGTCGGATCCAGTGTCATGTGACAGTAACACCCAGTTTAACTTTCATTGCAACAGCCTCTGTGACGCCAACCGCATGCATGTATGGCCTATGATGAACGGTGGTGACGACATCATCGACTCAATCCTCATCATCGATCATCCACGGCAAATTTGAAAATTTGAAAATTGTGAATCTCAGAGATAACATGCGGCTTCGTTGTCGTGGGTGACGTCATCGGACGACCACGGAATTTTCGCCGTTCTTTGGAACCTTCCTTTAGAAAAGTTGGCCAATCAATTAATTGCGGGCACCTTTTCTCTCTCTACGACGAAGCCCATTGCTCCCGGTCGACATCATCGCAAGTTTGCCACAAATCATGAACGTGTGTGCTTCGGTCAGCGGTGTTGCTACTCCGCCGAACAACGAGTAAAACGGGCGGTCTCTTGCCCGAGAAGAGGAAAGGACAGCGCATGTTCCGCTAACTATTAGACCCCAAACAGTGTTCATCCACGCACACCTCTTCTCCTCCTCTGTTGCATGTGCGTAGTTCGCCACAGGGCACACCCAACCGACTCTTTTCATTTCCGAAGGCACCAACACGCCCGTCGTAACCGCCGAGGCCCCCCTCTTCTTACCCTTCCCTGCCTTCCGGACACACGTACGGCGAACACATCACCATAAACAACACACAAGACCTCAAACCACAATGAGCATCATCTCGCGATGGCATGGGCTAGCGCATCACCACCACTGACACGCGTTACATACCCCCACCACGCATAGCGCGTGCGCAAGCCCGCTGCTGTCTGCATACCCCCCCCCCCCCCCCCC